AAAAAAAAAAAAAAAAAAAAAAAAAAAAAAAAAAAAAAAAAAAAAAAAAAAAAAAAACTTTCCATAAACACAATATTTTAACCCTATATCATGAAGATAATGATCCATACTTAGAGATATAAATAATTAATGATGTTTTATAGCACTAAAAAATAAATGTGATAAATAAAAATTAAAAGCCTAAACTTCTGAGACTATAAGAATAACAATAATAATAAAAATAAAAATAATAAAAAATTTAATAAAGTCAAATGAAAATAAAAATGCAATCAATATGGCCCTACTCCCAACATAATGTGATCGTGTTTAGAAAAATAAAAAATAAAATAAATATTACTTAGAGAAATTAAAAATAAAAAAATAAAAAAAAAAAACCCTAAAAATTCCATGGATGACTTAAATCACTCGGAAGCATGACGAACATAAAACTCCATATTTTATTTAATGCCTAAAGAATTATAATTTCTCGGGTCCACGTGTCGCTTTCTCGATTTTACACATCATTTATGTTATATAGAAAATATATAATTAATTCTTTTTCACTTTTTATGTTAGTGGATCTCCAAAAGAGTGCATGCTAAGCCAATACCATATAAAATATCCAAGTCAATATTCAAACATTAAAAACATACTAAAAAACAAATAATAATAATAATAAATTCATATTTTGTCAATCCCAACATAATTTAAATATTTTGTTCTTTATTTTCTACTTTATTTATTAAAAAAATTATAAATACTTTCTAATTATTAATCAAAAACTATTGAAAATAAATAATTAAGTGTGAGCTTGAAAAGCATAATGCTGAGCATTATAAATTCTTTTATTCTATATTATTATTATTACTATTATTATTATGAATAATTTTGCTTATTAATTCATCCATGTTAACCACCACTTTTTATAATACAAGCAATCATAGTTTAAAATATATATATATAAATATATATAATATGTTAGCAATCATAGTCTATTATATTATACAAAGGTTTCATTTTTTATTCTAAAGAGAAATATTTATTTATAAGATTTTCATTATATAGATATATATATATAACATTTAAAACATTGAAATGCTAAAAAAAGGAGAGGAAACCTTAAAAAACAATAAACATTAAAAGAAACAAAAAAAAATGTTAATAATTATAGAAATGCATTTTTTGTCTAATTATTTGATTAATATTCATTAATTATATTTAAGGTTTCTGATGAAATGAAGTTGGTGGGTTGTTTTCTTTATTCATATATGGTATCCTTAATTTCTTTTTTATTTTTTTTTAAACTAATTATTTAATTTGTTATTTATCCATTTTTTTAAAATATGGATTAGTGTTAATTAATTAAGCAGCAAGAAAACCCTAATTTAGTTTTAATGTTTCCATCAGCTCAGTAACACCAAATCTTATATCCAAATTATACCTTTAAATGCAAATATGAATTAAAACAATGTAATACGATCTCTATTGGTACGAGACTTTTTGGGTAAGTCCAGAATAAAACCACGAGAGCTTATGCTCAAAGTGGACAATATCGTACCATTGTGGAGATCAGTGATTCTTAATACTTAGAATAGTAATTGAATAAATACCTCTGATTCGCTATCGAGATTCAGCTTATTAACCAAATACTTCATAATCAAACGAACTTTGATCTTTTCATCCCTATTGATTTTTGAAAAAAATAAAATAAAAAAACCCATAAAAATGGATTTTGATCCAAAAAAATTCAGAATTTTTGTGTTAATTTGAGAGAGAAAGAACTCACTTGATTCTTAAATAGCTTTTTGATATCTGAGGCAAAAATGGTTGCTTTCTTCTGCATTAACAAACCCAAAAATTTTAAGGTTTAGAGAATTATTTGATTATGACATGTAATTAGAACAAAAAGGAGGAGAAATCTTACTGATTTTCCAAGGCTTTTAATGTAAACCAAATACCCGAACTGGGCCGCCGGGGAGGGTTTATGATTCTGATATCGGAGCTTGTCCCGGCCGCCGTGGCGTCGACCGCGATAGATGGTATGCTCGAGTGAAAAGAAGAAGAAGATAACATGGTCGAAGTAGACGGGTACGTTTGAGCTACGTTGATATCAGTCAAATTGAAAGAAGAACACGAAGGCATCCCTATTCCTGTTTCTGTCCTCGTCTCCGTTTTGGATGTTATTACAGCCTCAGGGCCGCCGGGTAATAGATCTAGCTCGACCAAAGGGGAGGTGGTTCGAGGTATCTCATATTGGTCTCCCCCGACGCCGACACGGCCGATGCTTAATTGAAGCCAAGCATCATGATCATCAGTATTAGAAGGGGATTGATGATGAAGAGAATTAGGAGAGGACTCATCATCATCCGCCATGGGAGGATCAGATCCTATGCAAGAAGAGGAAGAATATTGATCACAAATTGGAGGGCCACCATTCATTAAGTGGTGGCCGCCGCCTCCGCCGCCGCAAAGATGGTGTTTGGAGAGGTGGTTTAGGGCAGCGACCATTGTCATATCCGGAGGAATAGAGGGAGGCATGGAGTGAAGAAGAAATTAGGTGGAGAAGCCATGGAAGAAGAGAAAAAGAGGAAGAGATTGAGAGATCAAAATCAAAGTGCATTCCATGAGATTGGAGTATTGGATAATCACTCATCTAAATTCTTGCTTTTCATTATTTTCTCTCTCTCTCTCTCTCTCTCTATCTTTGGAACCTTGTGGTGATGATGAAATTCTTGCACAAGAGAGAGAAAAGAGTTTGGTGGGTAATATATATATGTATATATGTATATGTGTGTATATATATATATATACGTGTGTGTATATATCTGAATGTATATATTATGTTTGACTAAATTAATAAAAAATAAAAATACAGGTTAATACTATGTTTAAAAAAAATACCCATAAAATTTTAAAAATAGCATTAACGTTCTTTATCTATCTATATATATATATATATATATTGTGTTTGACTAAATTAATAAAAAAAAATAAAAATCATATGGTGTTTAAAAAAATACCTATAAAATTTTAAAATAACATTAACGCTTTTTACTTTTATACAAAAAAAAGAATTAAGAATTTTATTATCAATATATGAACGAAAATCATCTAATAATATTTCATAAATTATCTAAAAATATTTTGAATGGGTAGTAACAATAAAAGTATTTTTGAATTATTTGGAATATTAATTTTTTTTAAAGTACAAATTATATTAACTGTTTTTATACAAAGTAACGGTAACAATATTTTTTAGTTTTTTTTTTTTTTAATTTAAGGATATTTTAAATATTTTTTAAATGTAAAAATATGTTTCTAGTCTTTATTTTTAAATTATAAATTATAAAAAATTAAAAGAAAGAATTTAAACATCCAGTAATATATACTTTAAGGGTTGAGCTAAACTTAAATAAAATTTGATTAACGGACATTTAAATTAATATTCGATTTAGTGGATAATTTTTTTCAAATTATAAATTTAAATATTTATCCTAAAAATAATAGACATGAAATATAACACTAACTTCGAGACAAAAATCGAAAAAGTTATCTAAAAATGAATAAAGTATAACCGTTTTTTAATAAAGTAAAACAAATTTTGTTTGTGTATAGAAATTAAAGTATTTCTAAATTTTATTAAAGAAGTACCGTAATAAATCAACTTTTTGCACACGTATTAGAATGTGTCGTGACTTTGAAATTTTGTAACGTAAATGAGGCTTAAAACAAGTAAAATGTGTTCGAGGTCGAGAAATGACATGCATGTAATATAAATCAAACAAATGTTCAAAAATTTATTTTAAAAAAATGATGATTAGTCTATTTGAGAATATTCAACGGATTAAAAAACATGATAAAATATTAATGTTAATTATTTTTAAGAATTAATTAACGGTTTTTGTGAAATATTTTTAAAAAAATGTAAGGGACACATGGCAATCCTTGAAAATGACCATAAAGACCTTTCCCCTTTTGCAATATTAACAAATAATGGTTTATTTTATTCCTTAAAACTTGATTTGTGATGGTTAAACTACAATTGATTAATTGATTAATGGTAATTATTAGGAATTTAAGGTGATTGCGATTGTTCAATATATTCCATATATAATGTTAAGGATATTATGAAGACGGGTTTAAAAAATCTGATGATCCGAAAAATCTAATCAACACAGTTCAATTTAAACGATCTGGTTGAGTTATGAACTTATTTGAATTGGGTTAATATATATAATTATATATACATGAATTTATTTTTTATTTTTATTTATTTTCCAACTCTTGGTTAAACAAATTTTATATATTTATTAAAATTTATATATATTTCTTCATGTATTTGACACATAATTTAAAATTTACTAATTTGGCCCAAAATGGGGTGAGCCCTATTATTCAATTAAATATTTGTTTATTTCTCTATTTTTGGGCTTTCTGCGAAATACCTAAAAGGTCCCTTTTTTAGTTTAAGCCCTTGGCCATTTCTGTGCCCTTCTTTGTACATTTCATATGATAATTCGAATTCATGGAGAATTTTCTATGTTTTTGTATACATTTGGTAACTTTTGTGTTATTCGTCTCCTAATTTGAATCAGACTCGTTGAAATCAAGCTTCCTATCTAAGTTGGTTTCGGGATTCGATCATACATATGCCCTAAAAGGATGAACTAGTTGATTTATTTTCGTGTATGTATGTTGTTTAGCTTGTGCAATTTCGTTTTATTGTTTTTTTTATGTCGAGACTGATCAAATAGATTCACTTAGAAATATAAAAAAGAGTTTTTTTATACTACCATTTGACCTTGTGGTAAAACTAAATTCTTACAAATGGGTCAAAAAATTTTGATCTTCGGATAATGTTAAATGATAAGATAAAGCTTGTTTTAAGGAATTATTGAATGATTCATATTTTCTTTTAGAAATGTTCATATGATTCGAGAATCTGACTAACCTTGATGTTCAGTTGGGTTAGATTTTTTTTTTCTTGGTTTGGTTTGGGTTGAATTTTTTAAAACCAAAATTTTGTATCTATTCATGGATTGACATTGACCCGAATAATCTGAAGATAGAGTTACAACCCAACCCGACCCAACCATGTCCTACTTTTAAAATTTATCCAACTCAATCCGTGTACACTCTTATTTTCTTTTAGGTTGAACCACAATAATTGTTTTGATATGTTTTCAAATCAGAAACACCGTCATTTCATATTAGAACAAAAATTCGGGGCAAGGATATGATATCATCCACATTTTCAACATTGATGCCATTTATGTTGTGCGATATTCAAAACTTATAGCGAGAGAAACCAAAACTTAGAGAAACGTCCCATTTGATATCTCTTGACACCATGGCCAATCCTACACTTTTCAACTCAAATGCCCCTTTTTTTCCTCCTTTCTTAGAAGTGTATCATCCAAGGAAGTCAACATAATCTATATATTACATCTCCATGAAGAAATCTTCAAAGGAAAGGCTCCAAATAATATCAAAAAAGGTGGATGAGCCTTCACTTTTTGTATTGATGGGAATGAATGTAACAACATTCAAACATGGAATTTGATCATACTATTCAATTACCTTTGATTTTTAACTGAATTATCTACGAATGCTTAGTGGTAATTGGAAGGGAAATCACTTTCAATTGATAAGATGTTTCCCTACTCTTATCATTTTAACCTTTCCCACACAACACAACAAAGTTTTGGCCACCTAAATATGTGTAATGTAAACCCAAAACTATTGATAAAAAGACGATGTCTGTTCATACTCATGAATCAACTAATCCATACGATTTTTATTTATTTAAACTCAACCCAATAAATATAATTCAACCTAAATCATAAAAGTTGAGTTCAGTTGGGTTGATCAGGATCTTCAGATCACTGATCTTTTGAACACTCTAAAACATTACCCACGAACACCCTCGAATTGGATTTCTACGTAAGACTAATTCTAACCAAATGAGTTTGATAATCAACCCAAAACATGAAGCTGAAAGAATTTATTATCAAGAAGTTGTTGAACTATCAGATGCATATATAGCCACAAGGAGAAGCAGGGAAAACCACCACACCTGACTGATTAATGTGGCTTTAAAAGGAGTGATTATAATAAATGCATTTATGTCAAACGAGTTTCAAAGGAGGTTTCTGGCTTTTCTGCTATCCTATTGTAGATGATATGCTTAGAAATGGTAGATCTAAAGGTTGAACTAAGTAAAGGATTTGATATAAAGGATCTAGGCCATGCTAGAACGGAAACTTTCAGAGATCAATCTGCTAGAAGTCTATTAATTTCAACAAAAATGCTAGAGTAAGTCAACAAGACATAGCATACAACCAGGGTACGAATAATTGACGATTAATATTTTACTACCAGCATCTATGCAACCTGCAAATTGGCAGCTTTTTACCACAGTATCACAGCTATGATATAGTTTCTCTATTCTAGTCTAAACCAAAAGAGTTCTGGATGACAAGTCTATATCAATGGAAATCCACAACAAGAATGAAGTAAATTTTGCTTACCAGTAGTCAGCACAAGAGCATAACCCATCCTCAAAGTGATGAAAACGATTCATGTCTCGGATAATAATACCGCGTCCAACAATCTTGGATATTAACTTGATTGCAGAATGGCAATCAACGCAAATACGAAGATTTTTAATTATGCGAATCGGGCATCCAGCTGGCATCCTAACCAGACCGAAAGCTAAGGCTAATCTTTCACTGTGTAACCAAAGGAGACGCTCCTTCTCATCGTCTTCCACGTCAAGTAGGACAGCATTAAGATGAGGAGAATATCCTGCCTTCCTGGTTTTCATGTTTAAGAGTTCAAGCATTCCATTGATTAACTTCAAGTCGGGGTGCGAAGTATCGGCCACGGTGAAACAATGAACGTTACCCTGGTTCTCAATCCAACTTAAGCCAGGCTCTTTCTGTACTCCTTTTCTTTTCATATGCTTTCTAACATGAGCCACATTATCCCACCTTCTCGCCCTTGCATAGATGTTGGACAATAAAACATGGCTTGCTTCATCTCGAGGTTCCATCTCGAGCACACGCTGTGCAGAAATTTTTCCTAGTTCAACATCATTATGGATTACACAAGCCCCAAGCAGAGCACGCCAAATCATTACACTAGGCTCAAAAGGGATATTTTCAATAAACTTAACAGCCTGATCAAGATTACCTGACCTTCCTATAAGCCACACCATACAGGTATAATGCTCCATACATGGCTCAATGCCATAATCTTGTTTCATAGAATTAAAATATTGTTTTCCTTCATCTAACCGGCCTGTGTTGCTGCATGCTGACAAGAGACCAACAAAAGTCAACTCGTCAGGTTTGCACTCTGTTTTTATCATAAGATCGAACATTTTTATTGCCTCCACTCCTAGACCGTGCATAGAATATCCACAGATAATAGCATTCCATGAAACTCTGTCTCGTAGATTCAACATGTCGAACATCAAACGAGCATCTTTAATACTACCACACTTGGCATACATATCTATTAAAGCATTACCAACTGCAATATCTTGGCCATAGATGGTTTTAGCTGTCAAGCAATGAATCTGAAGTCCAAGTTCTAAGGCAGCAAGAGTAGCGCAAGCACGGAGAATGCTCGAGTACGTCACTTCAGTTACCTGAACTGCGTATCGAAACATATCGGAAA